TGATGGGCACTTGGGTTGTTTCCAACTCTTTGCTATTGTGAACAAAGCAGCAATAAACATCAGTGTGCATGTATCTGCTTGGGTGGCAGTTATGGGTTGTTTTTTTTTTAGGTAAATTCCCAAAAGTGGAATTGCTGGCTCAAATGGTATTTTTATCTGCAACCTTTTGAGAAAGCGCCATACTACCTTCCGTAGTGGTTGCACCATTTTACAGTGAATAAGGGTTCCAGTAGTGTCTGTGCAACCTCGCCAGCATTTGTTGCTTGCTGTTCTGCTAAAATTTGCTATTCTTACTGGGGTGAGAAGTTATCTCATAGTTGTTTTCAAAGCAGCTTCTTGATGAGGTTGATGTTGTATACTGTTGAGTTGGAAGAGATTCATAGTTAACCCTCCAGTGGTTTTGGGGTATTTTTGGTTGTTTTGTTTTGTGTCCTCCAGTGGTTTTTAAGAGGCAGTTTAGTCGCATAGGAGATTACGCATCTTTTTTTAAGTGAGCAGCTGAAGGATTAAAACCACTTTGGATTTGCCTTTGGATTGGCAGCACAGCTTCTTAAACACAAAGCCATCAGAGCTCCCTGTTCTTCATGATATTGGGATTAATTCTTTTGTATACCACTGTCTGTCTTTCAGGTATATTTTAGAAACAAATTTAGTTCAATACTCTTTAAAGGAACTTGATGAGCCTAAAGTATTTGTGATTTTTTGAAAAAAAAAATTATCACTATTAACTATAAATTTTAAATGTGTTTTAGCCCATCAACAAGCAATAATATTCCACTAATGCGAGTTGTGCAGTCTATCAAGCACACAAAGAGGAAGAGCAGCACGATGGTGAAGGAAGGATGGATGGTGCATTACACGAGCAGGGACAATCTGGTCAGTAATCACAGGAGTTTCATATGCTCGCTTCATGTCACGAGTTTATTGTGTTCATTTTTTAAATCAAAGTGAGAATAAGTTCTCTGTAAAGTTATACACATTAAAGCTATATAAAAGAAGAAAAATTATAAATGGTAGAATATTTAATATATGGTCTTAATAACCTTGTAGATCTGGCTAGTACTTGTGATCTTGTTACTGTTGTTGTTGTTGTTGTCGTCATGTGCTGTAGAGTTGGAACCAACTCATCATTGACTCTCCACAGGTAGCAGAGGTAGTAAATTACACTGGAGGAAATTATTCATCCTTTTCCTGTAGAGCCTCTGGTGGGGATTCAAACCACATGCCTTTAGGCTGGCAGTGCAACTCCTTACCCTCTAGACCACCAGAGCTCCTTCCTGTGATCTTAACATATTTTCAAATGGCTCCCCAAAAGGCAAGCAGTTGATTTCTTTTCACTTGGAGCAAAAGAAGGGAAAAGAGAGTCAGATGTAGGAGGAAGAAATAGAATGTGTGACTCTAAGACGAGTACCCCTTTTGCTAGGAGACCAGAAGAACTGGGTGTTGCTGGCTCCCATTACTGAATTGCCCCAAACCAGTGGGTTTTCAGAGGCAGGAGATCACACAGGAGGAGAGTGACCCTCTTCCTAACTCGGACAGCTGGTGGATTCAAACTGTGTGCCTTTGGGTTGGCAACACAAAACATCTTGGATTTTGATACTGTAGAAGAATAGTGGTAGAAGGGATAAATGCACAAGAGAATGTCTAATTTTGAGAGAATTCAGAAATTCTAGAGCCATAAGAGTTGAATGAACCTCCTGAATGCTTGCTCTGAGAAAGTGTTTCAATCATAAACTGAAAATACTAAAATAAAAATATCCCCTAAAATCTTCTTAAACAGAATTTTAGTTTACCGAGTGAAGATATTGTTACGTGTCTTCAAGTTAGAACTTACTTGTAGCCTCCAGTGGGTTTTCAGAAGTAGTAAATCACACAAAAGGAGATTGTCCATCTCTCTACGTCGGACAGCTGGTGGATTCAAACAGTATATTTTTGGGTTGGCAACACAGCTCCTTACACTAAGCCACCAAAGCCCCTCCAAGATATTGAGGAGCAGTTATGTCAGTTTAAAGACTAAAGTACACATAATGCAGGTTATCATCTTTTCAGACCCTTGCTATGCATCTGAAAGCTAGACAGAGAATAGGATGACAGAAGAAAAATCAATGTCTTTTGAGTTGTGATATTGGAGAAGAGTAGTGCATATCCCATAAACTGCCAAAAGTACAAACAGATACATTTTAGAGAAGTGTAGCCAGAGTGCTCCTTAAAGGCAGGGATGATGACACTTTATCTCATATACCTTAGGCACGTTGTACGAAAGGGCAATTCCTTGAAAAGAGGCATCATGCTTGGAAAGGTGGAGGGTCAGTGAATGAAAGGAATACCTTCAACAAAATAGATTGACACAGTGACTGCAGTAGTGGGTTCAGGTGTGTCAAGAATGATAAGAATGGTACAGGATAGGACAAGGTTCAGACCTCTTGTTCATAAAGTTGCTGTGCATCATACTCAGCTCAGCAGGACCTAACTGCAACAGTGATGGATATATGCCTTGAGCACTGCTCTTTTAAGAACTATCTATATGATCATATTGGCAAGAGCAATTCAAAAGGTTTGATAGGAAATTTAGGGGGTTAGCGGGTATACATTCGTGAGAGGAACAGTTCAGAGGAGAATGAGAAGGGTTCAATAACTTGAAGAATGTTGTCTCTGCCACTCTGTTGTACAAGTAGAAATTATTGAACTGGTGTTTGTTCAGACACAGCAATAAAAATATTTATTTTAATTACTAAGCAAAGTAGTGAAGAAAATAAATAATATAGAAACAAATAGTACTCTTTGAAAATTATAAATTCTAAGAAAGCTAATTGAATATTGATAAAGTCTGTAAAATGATTGATTACTAAAGTAAAGAGCAAAATGCCTTTTTTAAAAGAAAGAACATTTTGAAAAAGCATTTGATGTTAGGGAGCTCTGGTGTCCTAGTGGCAAGAAGCTGCACTGCAGTCCCAAAGGCATGCAGTTCAAATCCACCAGATGCTCCACTGGGGAAGGAGGGGCAGTTTCCTCCTGTGCCAGTCAGATTGAATTCAAGGGTACACAATTTAAAAAAGCATTTGACATTGTGCCACAATGAAAAGTAATTTGGCATGTAACTCACTACAGCTAATGAAGAAATTGAAATTTCATCTGTAAGGACCTCTTAAGTTGCTAGGAAATGAATGTATGTAAACTTCAATTAGTATGATATACAAGTTATTTTTCAGAATTGGCTCAGAAAAAGGGTGGAGAAATTACAGTGGAATCACAGTTAGTCTTTAGATGTACATAGTATTGTCATTAACAGCCTCCATTTTGAAGATAGCCTGCCTGGGTTTGACTTCTGAAATAATAGATTCCAAATGAGTAAATGCATAAAAGAGGCTTAAAACAGTGCCTGGCATATAGTAAGTGTTACCTAATATTAATATCTTAAAACTTGCTAAGTAGATTATTGAGCAAGTTTTTATTGTTTGGGGTTGTTGGGTTTTGTTTGTTTTTTTAAACCTTCAAGAATAAAATGAAATGCCCAATACTTTTAGCTCCCTTAGATAAAGTTTTATGTGACAACCACTGGAAAAACTATAGTTGTAGTGGATTCCTTTTATTTATTGCTTATATCCTTTCAGAAGAAACTCAAAATATCTTACATGCACATGAGAATTTAAAGATTCAGAACAAATTTAGTGGAGAAAACATAATTCAGTAAATGGTGTTGGGAAAGCCGTATAGCCCTACAGGAAAAAAAATCTGTGTGCATGCCTCACACTTTACATAGTAAATCCGAATGGACCAGAGGTTTAAATGTAAACAAATTAAACCAATAGGGGAAATTCTTATATAAGTTAAAAATGAAGAAGCAGCAATTGGTGGATAAGTTCAACTTTATTAAAAATGATCTACATTTAAAAAATATGATCTATATCACAAAAAGTAAAGTCAAATGAGAATTTTCAAGTCATATTTTACACAAGGGCTAATTTCCATAATGTAAAAAGACTACTGGTGGTCTAGTGGCAAGAAGCTGTACTGCAATCCCAAAGGTACACGGTTCAAATCCACCAGATGCTCTCCCGGAGAAGGAGGGACAATTTCCTCCTGTACCAGTCAGATCTGATTTGACGGTACATGCACAAAAAATTAAAAAAAAAAATAATAAAATAAAAATAAAAAGACTACTAAGAACATTGATAAGAAGAAGACCACAAGACAAAAGATTTTAAAAAGAATCCTCAGGAAAGGAAATTCAAGTGGCTCTTAAACATTACGAGCTTATCTCATTGACAGTAAGTGAAGTGCAATTTAAAATGTCTCTGAATACAAGGGGGTTTTTTGTATCAGCGTGGCAAAGGATTACAAAATTTAATATTACATTAGAGAGGGTTTACAAAAATTGACACCCTATATGATGCTCAGATCCACAATCAACACTGTTGGCACCAGCAGTCAGGAAATCAGAAGACAAATTGCAATGGAAAAGTCTGCTATCAGGGGCCTCTCCAGAGTGCTGAAAAACCACACTGTCAGTCTAGAGACTAAGTTGTGCCTAATCCAGGCCGTGGTCTTTGCGATTACTTGTTATGCATCAGAGAGCTGAACAGTGACTAAGGATGACAGAAGAAGAATCAGTGCCTTTGAGTTGTGGTTCTGGAGAAGAGTCGAACATACCATGGACCACCAAGAGAACAAACAGATCTGTCCTAGAGAGGGTGAAATCAAGTTGCTCCTTGGAGGGTAGGATTTTGAAGCTCCTTCTCACATACTTTGGACATGTTGCCAGGAGAGACCAGTCCTTGGAGAAGAACATCACACTTGGAAGGGTAGAGGGT